ACACCTTCAAATCCACTTGGGAAGAGAAACACCTGAGACAAGTCCAAATTGGACTCGATCAACAGCTGCAATACCTGGAACAATGCTTGGAAGAAGACGAGGAAAACGAAGACGTGAGAGAGGTGGCAGAGGATGAGCGGACAGAGTCAGGAACTCCAGTCCCCCAGCTGAGCAGCCTAGCGCTGAGGAGATATTTCAACAGGATAGACAGGTTCCTCAAAGATAAGAAATACAGTCACTGCGCCTGGGAGATCGTCCGAGTGGAGATCAGAAGATGCTTCTACTTCTTTCATAAATTCACAGCACTACTCAGGAGGAAATAAGGTATATTCTTAGAATTCAAATTCCATTTCTCTCCCAAATCTCCTTTTCCTTCTCTTCCTCCTGCATCTTCTGTTTAAGGATTACTGTGCTATGCCAAGGCTCCCCTCTGTTGGATTGGTGGTGGTTTAGGTAATGTTCACTGTTTCTGAAGTTTGGCAGAAAGAAAGTGATGCCAACCACCTCCTGGGTGACCAAGAGTCTTGTTAGGAAGTCCTGAAGACAGATTTAAAGGAGGATTCCCCCTCCACCTTCTACTCCCTGTTCCTCTTTCCTTTTGCTCTTTCGTACTTGCTTTGCTCTATCTCTCACCTTTGAACTCCACCAAAACAATGGCTAGAGGACACGGATCAGAAAATATTGAAAAATGGAACACCTCAATGACTTAATCCTCTTGCTGCCAAGGTTGTTTATTCCAGGAAAGTTCAGCACGTTAAAAGACCTTACACACGCTCCCATAGAGTTAAAACCCTTCCTGTCTCCCTACTGTTAAAAAAAAAAAAAAAAAAAAAATTGAAATTTCTGGCCCATTTGCTTCTCAACTTGGTTTAGTTAAAATGATACAAAGTTTGTGGCTTGGTATCTTATTATTTTAAGAGAGTGAAGATCCATGGTGATATTGGATGGTTGAATTAGATGCCTATGATTTAATGCAGAGAGCATTGTTCATTCCTAATGCATACTGTGTGATTTTTACATCTAAAGGCATGGAAAATGCTGCAGAAAAGTTTAATATCTGCCTTTCATTGTTTTTTGTTTGTTTGTTTTGTGCCTGAAATGAAATGCCTACAGTCAGACTATGGAAGAATTTCAGATGGGATTTTCCCAATTAGAAAGCCACTTTCTATTTGTTAAATAAATGTAATAACACATGACACTTTAATAGACTTTTTCTTTTTGCAAGTTATTTTGTACCTAGATTACCCAGATTATTTACTTAAATTTTCTTGTGTGGTCCTTCATCTGTATTAATTCATCTTCTAGCTGAAATGAATCTTCTTTTCCTCTCTCTCCTCTACCCCATTTCAGAACCATCGACCTTCAAGCAAGAATTAACAGAGATTGTGGCTACCCAAATGCATCAAAGAGGGTGAAATGTACCCGGTTCAGCTCTTGGAAGGCTTCTCCTGCTATTACTATAACAGCACGCTGCTAAACTGTTTAGATTCAAGATTCATCCAAGTACAGGGCTCCAACAATGTAGTCAAACTGAGAAAGTCTTATGATAAAATTGAGGCAAATTCAGTCCAAAAGTTAGAAGAAATGTTTAAAGGCACAAGAACTTGCTGTGGATCATGGTATACTGGTTATCAGTGAAAGGATCAGACAATAAAATGAGTTAGTATAATCCATTTAGAAAAAACAACTCATCAGTAGTAGTTCTAAATTTTAAAAAAGCATTACAAGCTATAAAGGAGTTAGGGCATGCAAGCTACTGAGCAGAAAGTATACACTTAATATTTTCCATGAATTTCTCTAATAATGCCTTTGCATGGTCTCCCTTGTAACTCTACTGGGACCGTGTCAGTTACTTCAGCAAGTTATGGTTGCAGTCTTGCTAAATGCTTGCAATGCAAGAAGGAAGAGAATTGGCACTTCCAGCTAATAAAGATTGTCTGATTGTACGGGCAGGGGCAGGAGTCAGACAAGATGCTTTTATTAAGAGCACCACTAGTCAGAAAAAGGAGAACACTCTCACTGAAAAATAGGTAAGGACACAAACTGGCACCATCACAAAGAAACACTAACAGGCGATATGAAAAAATGTTTAATCCCATGTATGATTAAATAAATTCAAAAGAAGACAATAAGATACTCCCCTCCCACCAGTCTGGCAGAGATAAAAAAGAGTGATAATATAGACTATCAGTGGGGTATAGGGTATAGGGGAAAAAAACTCCTGTGCATTGATGGGGAGACGTTAAACTGGCAAAAGTTTCCTACGGGACAATATGGCATCTTAAATATCCTTAAAAAGTACATTAACTCCTTAGACCTGGCTATCCTATCTCCAGAAATTAATTCCAAGGAAATACCTGGATAAGATTGTTTAATGGAGCCTTGTTTATAATATCCCTCCTTCCTCTGTTTTAATTTTCACCTCTCTGTATTTTCTGGGTTTTTTCTACAATGCTGGGGAGGGTTTTCTTTTAATTCTAAAATTAAAGAAACTGTACAAGCTTATCTTTCACTGCGGTTACCCTGTTTTCCTTACTGGAGTAGACTGGGACACCCACTGCCCTTTCACTTTGTTAATGACGCCTTTAGACACTTCTTGAGTAACTCAGGTGCTTCTTGTTTTTCTCCTGCTGCGGCTGCTGCTAATTTCAAAGGAATCCTTCCTTGGGGATCACTTTCATAATGAAACCTTTGTAAAGTGTCTTCTGGTGCTTCAAAGATTTTGCTTGCTTTCTTTTGTTAGTCCCACTGGTAATATTCAGAAATCACTGGAGAAAGTGCCCTATGTGTTCACTTTCCTGACTTAGTCTCCTCTGTTCTTCTTTATTAAATGGAAGCTCAAAAGTCCTAAGTCCAGTAAAGGGAAAACCTCTGGAACTGGGCAGAGGCCAGTGTGCAGTTTCTACTTAAAATGCTTGAGTGGGTACATCGGTCACGAGTGTTCAGATGGAAGCTTCCTCCCTCCCCTGTCTTGGGGCAGGGATCAAATGGTGGAGGATAAAAAAAGGGTGTAGTTGAGTCTCCTTGGAAGGGGACTGATTGGGTGTCAGTCAGACAGAAAAGGCTGACGACACCAGTATATGTAAGACTACGTGCAGGTGTAGATTCCAACAGGTGTACAGACACAGTCTCCTCTCACAGTCTAACCGACTCTAGGGGCACCAGCTGGGGGCCCTGCCCTCTCAGAGTGGCTACTGTGCTTCGGCCCTAGTTCTTCCCCCGCCCCACCCCCGCCCCCGAGGTATAGTTGAGTTACAATATTATATTAGTTTCAGGTGGTAAGTCCTAGTTCTTTAAGTAAGTCCACAGTCATCAAGAATACGCACCATGTGTAAGCAAACAACGTGATAGGAAAGGCAGAGAAACAGGGCCACTATAATCTCACAGGCGCACTCACAGGAGAACTCTGTCCCCAGACACCGATTCACAAGGCCTGGGTATCGTGAACTCGGCCCTGGCAGCGTCTGCGCTGGGTCCTCCGGGTCCGCTTTTCCTAAACGCCGAGAGGGGGACCGGGACTTTACATTTGGAGCCCTATGCGAAGACAGAACTCCAGGTTCATTCTGGAGGGAGCCGCTTCACTCCTGTTTCTAGACAAAGTCTCGAGGCTTCCTAGGTTATTTGCATATCTCCATTCTCTTTAAGGCGACTCGCCTGCCCTTCGACCCTTGGAAACTCGCAGACCTCAGAGCCTTAAAGCTGTCTGCCTACCAGACGTGCCCTGATCCCGTCCCGCCGCCTGGCAGCGGGCCGGCCACACGCCTTTAGGCGGAGATCGGAATCCACTGGAACCCAGCAAAGGACACCCAGATTGGGGCGGAACCTCGCTTCCACTCTCTGCCGAAAGAGGCACCCATCTCGACCTGCGCTCTTCGGCGCGCTGGGGAAAAGACCTGAGAAATGCGCCCAGGGCCACAGGCACCAGAGGAGGCGGGGAAGGAACAACTTTCCCTCCGCCCTCTAACCGCAAGGCCCGGGTGGGGCGGCCCCGCTGGGGTCGGGCTCCTCTCCTTCCCCAGGCGGGCTCCCGGGCGCGAGCTGGCCGGGTGGCTGGTGTGGAGGCGGGGGGAGGAGGGCCCGAGGGGCTTCCTTGTCTCCCGAGCCCCGCCAGATGTGAGAAAGGCAAACAATAGGGGAAACGCGGAGAAACAAAGGCTGTTCGCCACGATCTCAATCGGCTCCGTCGCGTGGTCCCGGCGGGGAGGACGTCTGGGAGGGGTCAGGAAGGTGGGTGAAGGGGGATCCTGAGGAGTTTGGGGTCTCTGGTACTTACTTGCCAGGCGCCGGGAGTCGGCCCCTTACCCTTCCAGAGGGGTCCAAAGGCAGGGAGGGGCAATGAAAGGAAAGTTGAAGCGTTTCCACCTTCTTCCTCAGCGCAGGGAAAGGGAGGGGCTGGGATTCCAGATATTTGACAGTTGTTGGCCCAGGGGTTCGGCAGGATGTGTACGTCCTTTTCACACCCTCTCCCTCCAAGAAGCATCCACAGTCCCCGGGGCGACCTCGCCGATGGAGTGGAGTTCCCCTTCGCAGCCCCGAGCCGAGCCTCCTCCTTCAATATCAAGACGCCCTAAACGTGGTCCCCCTGCCCAGGCGCACTTTTGTAAAAGTTTGTCTTCCCGCCACCCACTGCCCCGCACGCACCCTGCAGTCATCTGCAACCCGGGATGGATTCGGGGACAGACTTGTACCCCGAAGAAGATCGATATTTTTGACAGATCTTTTGAAATCAAGGCCCCGGAGCCCGGGGTGGACTCTTGTTCACACCCGGGAAGGGCGCGGGAGGAGCCGGCCAGAAGCCGAGACGCGGGCAGGGGTCTGACGTGGATTCCAGCCCCGGAAGCCAGCGAAGAGCGGGCGGGGAAACAGGGTCCGCCGCCTCCCGCCCCCCTGTTGCACCCGCCCCCAGGTGCGCCCCGCACCTCTACCCTCCTGAGCGCGACCCGGCGCAAGCGGCCGCGGGCTCCGCCACCTCCCCTCGCTTGAAGCGAGCTCTCACTCACCGTGGGGGTTTTTACCTTCTGCCCCGGGGCCCTGTCGGCTCCCCGCGCCGGGGCAGCTGCAGGCGGCGCGAGAGGAAGAGGATGAGCTCGGGGCAAGAGGGGCGACGCTCGCGGATCCAGCAAGGGGCTCCCGGGCCACCGCGCGCGGTCTCAACGAGCGCGCGGGCGAGCGAGCGCGGGACTCCAGCTGCAGACGCCGCCGCTCCAAAGCAGCCCCCACCGGCACCCGGCGCGCGGCTACCATGCGGAGGCGCGTGCGGGGACCCCCTGGCGGCCGCCCGCGGAATGGCAGCTCCGTCGGAAAGGGACGTTAGGTCGCCTTTGGGTCATCTTCCCTCCGGAAAGAGGTGGGGAATGGACAGTCTGAGCAGGGCTCCCGGCCTTGTGTTAAAGACATTGACCCTGCGGCCAGGGCAGGGAGTAGGATATCAGATCAGAAAGGGTGCGTTCTGGGTCCACCAGGGCCACATCCAAGGCACCTAGAGAGGGGGAAATTGCTTACCTTCTCCAGGATTTTCTGACTTGTTGAAAAATGCTGTGGACTGCCCGACTGAGGAGAGCATTAATCATTGGAAAATACTTTGAGATTCTAGCAATTTGCTAGAGCAAGCTGGGAGTAATGGAAAGAGCATGGACTTTGAAGCCCAACCCACAGCCTGCCACTTTCTATTTGTGTGATCTTGGTCTGTGACCTCTACCTTGTAGTATCTACCTTGCAGGGTGGTAGTAAAGGGTAAAGTAAACAAAGAAAGTATTCCTAGTTCATAGTAGGAGTTATTAAATATAAGCTTCCTGAGGAAAAGAATGAGTCTTCCACATCTTTTAATTCCCCGTATGATAGCATCTTAGTGCACATTGATTGAGAAGTACCAAACGACTAGGTATTGCATTTTACAGTTCTTACTACACACTTTAAAGAAATATGGAAATATATTGAGTAGAAACTAGAATACACAGAGAAAACATCCCTCCCGCAAAAGTTGTTTCCACAACTACCAAGTGAGACCCTCTAAAATCACACCCATCCTTTGCAATATCAAGTCAATTCTGATATTATAAGAAATAGTTAATAAATAGTCATGGTCTAATGATATCAACTCTGGATTAAATGATTTAATTCTGTGTCCTTTGGCAATGCAAAGATAATGAATATTGTGAATATAAAACTCAAAACAAGAGAAGAAAAAATGGTCAGGTACAAAAACCCAGCCACTAAGCAATGTTTCTGTTTAGTCATACAATCTCGTTTCCAAATTGTCTCAAACCCCATTCACTGCTTTCAAGTTCCTTTTGCTCCTGGGCTCCATGGCAATCAGACAGCACTTCATCATCCATAACAATCAGGGTAGAAGTGTCTCTTAATTACTCTAGTTTACCTTTAATAGTCCTTCTCTCATACTCACTTGTCCCTAATTGGGAAGAGGCTGTTGCCTGCCCCAGAATTCTCATTACATGGTCTTTTCTGTTCTGTCAAGAAGAGAGGAAAAATAAGGCTTCCTGTCTCAGAAATTAAAGTAGAACATTGAGATCCAACTTCTGCCCTCGAAGATAGGGTTCAAGCTCCAGCGCGCAGATGAGCAGGGCATGTGCAGGGCAAAGAAGGCGTTGGATTCCAATCAATAGGCATTAATGGAAGGGTCTCTGCCTCTCTCTTTGGGTTTCAGCCTTGCCTGTAGGGAAAAGAGAACTTTCATCCCACTTCATCCCCTTAGTGGCCCCTTCACTGGGGAGAAATGGTGAACCTGGTGGTTGGGGGGAAGACTTGGTTATTTCCTCGATAACTTTAACCAGTGAGTGGCGTCAATATAATGAATCACATCCTATCTCTCACCCACCCTTGATCTAGCTTCCCTGCCTGTGACCTGGTGGCTGGAAGAAGATGGCTCAACCTTCAGAAGGCTCTGAAGGGCCAGCATTTTAAATTCAAGCCTTCTTTCGTCCTGTTTCTTAGTCTATTCAGGCTACTAAAACAAAATGCCATAGACTGGGTGGCTTATAAATAGAAATTACTTCTCAAAGTTCTGGAGGCTAGGAAGTCCAGGATCAGGGCACTGGCAGATTCAGTGTTTGATGATGGGCCGTTTCCTCATAGACATCTTTTCTCTGTGTCTTCACATGGCAGAAAGGGACAAGGAAGCTTTCCCAGGCCTCTTTTATAAGGCCACTAATCCCATTCATAAGGGCTCTGCCCTTGTGACCTAATCACCTCCCAAAGGCCCCACCTCCCAATACCATCACCTTGGGGGTTAGAATTCAACATACGAATTGTGTTTGGGGGGACACAAACATTCAATCTATAGCATCTTGGGCTACATCTCTTCTCCAATCTGGCTTTTATCAGAGCCCTGTATTGTACAGCAAACTGGCCCCATCATGATGTGAAGTGGATATTGTTTCCCACTGGCTATTATTCCTTATGTGTATGTGTCTTTGCTCGTCTGGAAAAGTACTCTGAAGGAAAAGAATGGGGGAGGGAGAGGATTCAGATATCAAAAGCTCACCCACACTGAATGGATTCTCCCTGTCAGACTTGCTTACACTGCTGTCTTCCCCCAACTCAGGGAAGGGCCAGTCCAACCTTTCAGTTGCTTAAGGCCCCGTGGAATCTTCTTTGACCTTCCTCCTTTTCTATTCCACCTCTACTCTATCAGAAAAACTCATTGGTTTTATCTTCAAAAGATATCCAGGGGCTTCCCTGGTGGCGCAGTGATAAAGAATCCGCCTGCCATTGCAGGGGCCATGTATTCAAGCCCTGGTCCGGGAAGATCCCACATGCCGCGGAGCAGCTAAGCCGGTGCACCACAACTACTGAGCCTGCGCTCTAGGGCCCGCGAGCCACAACTACTGAAGCCCACGCGCCTAGAGCCCGTGCTCTGCAACAAGAGAAGCCACCGCAGTGAGAAGCCCGCGCAACGCAATGAAGGGTAGCCCCTACTCTTAGTTGCTGCGCTCACCACGTGCAGCAACTAAGACCCAGCACAGCCAAAAATAAATTAAAAAAAAAAAAAAAAAAAAAAA